ACGGGGGTAGAAAGCTCAGACACACACACAACACACGCACACACACATGCACACACCTGCATACACACAACTTCAGCCTCTATTGTGCTGTACGTTCACTCCAGACAGACAGTCACGCAGAGATAATAGCCGCCTTGCTTTGATTATAACTTCTCCGCCTTTGATATAATCATCCTCATCCGACTGAAATTATCTTACCGCTTCAAGGTAAAGGTAAAATCAAGAATACAACACTGCATCCTCCGTACAGCAGCCAAATCAGTGTGAGTGCAACAGATTTGAGAGGCTGCGCTAAGTAGAGGTGGAGGCAGACAGGTGGGGCGTCCATATGCCGCTCCATACCAGACCGACTCCTCATCCCAATCCAATCCAGCCCTGCTGCTCCTGTCTCCAGCCTGGATGAGGGTCAGAGGTTCAGGCTGCTGTCTCTCTCTCTCCTCAGCATGCTCACTTGGCATCGGAGATCGCCGTCCTCTATTTCAGATTTCCTCACTGATTTTTTTTCTGCTGCTGCTGTAAAATGTTTTTTTTTTTGTCCCAGTTTGTGAAGCATTTTGTAATTTTGTGAATGTCAACTTTAATTTCAGGAGCTTCAGAAATTACGATGAATTCAACTTTAAACTTCTCTCAGCTATATGGCGCCCCAGGTGGTAGGAAAAGGTGCCCTCCAGAGAAGCCCTTTTAAGTTGGTTGCCATCGGCGTTTGCCTCACTGTAGTAGATCGCAACGGTGCTACTTCCAGCCTGTACCAACCCTCTGTGCTTGCTCGTTTAAATACGGCTTTGCATGTTGGCATTTCCACTGTGGGGGACTAAAAATGGACACTTGCAGTGTGTGTGCAAAAATGCAGAATATCCATCCCATGTCACTTTCCTCGAGCTCTTTGGCAAATGCTGACTTCCTTTTTTCAGCATGACAGCTCACCTACCTGTCGTTATATATAGCAGGCCTTTTAGGTATGCGAAGACAGGCTAGCTTAGCAAGAGACGCAACCCCCGAGATTGATTGACACATGTGCAGACAAATCAGTGTTGAACTTTGACTCGTCTTGCATTTGTGATGTTTTTCTATTGGTTAAAAATGTAAAACAGCCATGGCAACGACATTGATTGACATATATACAGACAAAGCACGGTGTATTGTTTGGTTTGGTTAAAACCAGGACAGTGATTGTTCCAAACCAGGACATATGAGGGGTTTATAGACATTTGTGGGGACTCAATGGATGGACGGTCGCCCTAGTGTAAGGGCAAATATACAGATAACGATATTATCATGGTGGCTGCTCCTGCTCTTAGACTCATTTGTGATGAGTGTTTTAAGGGATATTATTGCAGATGTAATTACCGACCATTTATCCCACTTTGTGTTAATTAACAGTTCAAATGACACCATGGCCTGTTTCACATTCTGCTCCCAGCACCAGCGCATGAGACTAACGGCTTAATGCATTAGATTAGACGTGACCTCCGGGCTCCATTCGTTTCAGTGAAGCCCGTCTGAAGACGAGGACAGGACAAAAGACGGCGCGGGTTGCAAGAAGTGGCAGGCGGGACAGGAGCTGCCATGTAATCGAATTCCTCCTCCCTTTGTCTTCATTCATTCAGTGTCATGACAGATTATGTTTAAGTGGGAGGAGGGGAGGGCAGGATGATAAATGAGAGAGAGAGAATCACGGCACAGGCGAATGGGAAGGGAGAGAGGTAGACGGCACAATTAAGTTACAGTCTGGACGCCGGCGAGAGGGGAAGAAGAGTTTTTGGTCGTCGCCTCCTCATGAATTTGGTGTCATGATTCATTGTCTGTAATGCTGCTGTGAAATGCACGAGGGTTTCCTAATGAAGTGTGCCGCTGTTTGTGTGTGCATGCGATAGAAACAGTGTGTGTAAACTACTTGCTGTATCAGTGCTCTGCAGGTTGGACTCACACTCAAGCACAATGGGGGGTTTTTAATTATTTCCGTTATGTGAACACCTCTGGGGTGTTTCTAACCCGTTTGACCTAAATAAAATTCTCTTTATTCAGAGGAAGTGGTTAAGAATGTATGAGTCTGTGCTCAATAATATCACCCATTTATATATTTTGAGCTCGGCGTCTGGCCTTCCCAAGGTGTGGTTGTGCTAATTGGACGACATACCAGTAAAGGGAGGTTCCAACTTGACAACCCAAATGGTGTCTTGGCTCAATTTCTGGAGTTTATGCCTCGAACATTGGCTAAACTTCCGATGACAAAATTGTAGAGATTCCTTTATTGACCTCAGGATCCATCAGCATTCATCTGATTCAATGATGTTTCCACGGGGAGTTTCCAGCAACCTGCTAACTCTGCTAGCACAAAGTTAGTGATAAAGTACTTCAGTCCGAGACTTTCTGATCATGGTTCAGTGTTTCCCACAGAATGTTGCGGTGGAGTACGCACATGTCATCATTATTTTGTTTGTTTTCATAAACTGAAATGAAGATCTTTTCCTCGCTTTTTTGTTGGACCAGATTTAAAAACCCCAAAGTGGAATTTTGAGTTTTTTTACTTTGTGAGGACTGAGGGATTGTGGGATATTGAGTATTTGTTATTTTGTGTTTGTGGGTTGAGTCTTAAAACAAAAAAAAACCGACTTATCTTAAATGCCAGGAGAGAGACCTGGCTGGCACCCTAAAACAAAATATTAAAGGATCATCACATCTCAAAGTCAAACTGTCACAATGTGTGATAAGCAGGTTGCCATGGCGAGGACACTGAAGCTTCAGTGTTTAGCCAGCTATACATGGGTATGATTGAATTCAGTAGATCGCTTACTGAAGCTCCTTTAAATCCAAATGGAAACCTGAGAAGAAAAACAGTTTTTTTTTTTTTTTTTTTTTTTACTGCACATGCTTTCTGTTTAAAGAGTTTAAATAAAAGTCAAGAGTTTTCTGATGTTAGTCTGATTGAGGGTTTCATGGACTGCAACTTAGCAAATGCTTTTTGCCTCTGATGTTTTCCACAAGTCTGAAATACTCAAATCTCAAATCAAAGGACAAGATTCAAAGAGCCTCAAACAAATCCTTCAACACTTAATGGTAAACTGTTGTCTCCTTGCAGGCCTACTTCCGTCAGGGTGTTGCTCTGCAGTACCTGGGTCGTCATGCCGACGCCCTCGCAGCCTTCGCCTCCGGCCTCGCCCAGGACCCCAAGAGTCTCCAGCTGCTGGTCGGCATGGTGGAGGCCGCCATGAAGTCGCCCCTCAGAGGTATGTTCGTGGAGTTCAGTCTTTGTCTTCCTCCTTTTCTTCCATCGTTTCTCTCCACACTTTGTATGAAAACAAGAGAAGAAGATGCTGCACGCAAACATAAAACAACAGCTGTTTGTGTCCTTTGCAGAAACTTTGTGTTTGGAAAGTTGAAGGAGCGTGAGACGTAGCAGCTGGGGGAAAACTGTCGAGTTAAAACTTACATTTTTATTCTGTTTTATTCAGAAAAGCTCCTCCTGGGACTGAGATCAGAAAAAGTCAAAAAAAAAAGAAGAAAAAAAAAGAGCTGCCTCTGGTGATTGAGATCTCACAAAGAAATGGATTCATGTTTGATGCGACAAAGACGGAGATAAGAGAAAAGAGAAACTGAGAAAATGACACAGAGACGATAAATAAAACAAGCAAGTCAGATGAAATAGAAAGAGAAAGAAAAGACGTTCAAAGACAATGGAAACAGGGAACTCTGTAGATTCAGGGGGATTAGTATAAGTCATCTTCAGTTTCCACATGTTGATGAACATGTCTCACATGAACAGTCTAAATCTAAAAGTCTGTGAAGTCGTCTCTAAACACACTGCAGAGAGCTGCATGTGAAAAGACTGAGAACTATGTTTGACTGAATTATGGATTAAGCCTATAAGAAAGTTTGTCATCACTTTTAGATTCAGGTTTATTTTCTGAGGGAGGGCGGGCTAAATGGAGGGCTCAATGATGCACTTGGGTTTTGATCCAGCAGATGTCGCCCTTGAGCACCAGCATGAAACCAAAACAACTTGCGCTGCATTGTTGTGTTAGCATGCTAATGCTAGCGATCTTTATTATGCTGGTATCTTCACACTGCATGTAAATTTAGCTGAAATGAGCGTGATCTAGAAACACAGTTAAGCAGTGAGTACAGTATGTTATTCTTCTTTTCTCTAGTCCCTCAATTAAACAACTTTTATACACGAGGGGAGGAGTCAGCCGGCTGTCCTGGCGATGTAAACAAAGTGAAGATAGGATTCTGAAAACTCTGATAGCATCACAGACAGTGGGACTCGGTTTGTTACACCCATTGTAGACAGTCATGACTCACAGAGTTATTTTCAGAGGAGATACTTGATTTATATTATATTTAAGTGTGAAAAATCACATATTAAGACTTTAATGCAGGGGGCGCTGGAGTCCCATCGATGGCGGTCTCCATGCTGGAAATGCTGTCTCACCCTAACTTTCATTCAACCTAATGACAGGCTGAGAGCTGGAGCTGAGGCCTCTTGACAAACCGTTAATTCACGCCCCTGTACTGTGTTCTGAATGAGAGCCAATCAGATGTCTGATTAATGTTCAGACCTAGCAGGTATGAAGTTGGTTTAGCAGCAATCACTATTTTTCTGAAGACAAATCTGTTTGGTCCAGAGACAAGAGATCTCATTACTAATAATCCCACTCCTGATTCTCATATCTTTTCCATATTCATGAATCTGGAGACATAGTGAATCTCCTGGGTTATTTCTTGCTACCGTGTTTATTAGCATGAATTAGCTCCTTGTGGAGCTCCTGATTAAATATTTAAAGGTGGATTCTTGTGTGTCATTGATCTATCCGCCCCACAAGTTCACACACTACACTTTAATGTGCAGGTCTAAACAGCATTACGAGATGAAGGAAGAGTGCACATAATCAGGAATGGTTTGCAGGCTGGAGCTGGCACTGGATTATGTTTTCTGCCCTTCAGCTGTATCAGAATGAGAGCAATACGGCTTCTTGGGAATAGACGTCTACTTGGCAGGCTGCAGAGAAAGTCTATGCACGTGGAATTTTATGCATCTGTTTTTTTTTTTTTACACCGGAGGGCTTAGCTCGTTGAGTATTCACAATATATTTCGCTCTGAGGTATGATGTGTCGATGCAGGTGGGGCGGATTGAGCATAAGGCTTTAGTGCTAACTGACCTAATGAACACTACTTTTGTTGCATATACCTGAATCATAGGGAGAAAAAAAGTAATAATAATAACAACAACAATAACAATAATTTATACTTTATTCATCACCGGAAGGGGAAATTGGGTTTTACACTCTGTTTAATGAACATGAGCACACACACACACATGCACAAACAGGACCCTACATGCATTAATGAAGAGGTCTCAGAGTGAGGGGGGCTGCCCCACATCGAGCGCTCCAGAGCAGTTTTGGGGTTCGGTGCCTTGCTCAAGGCAGTGCTCAGAAAGTGGACTGGCACCTCTCCAGCTACCAGACCATTTTCCAGACTTGAACCGGTGACCCTCTGATTCCCATCCCAAGTCCTTACACACTGAGCTACTGCCGCCCCAACAACATAAATTGGAAGATTTGAGAAAAGAACCACAATGAACTCCTTAACCTACTTATATTTAGATTTATTCTGGAGACAGGACAGTGGGTAGAGTCAGAAACCGGGAGAGAGAGAGAGAGAGATGGGGTTAAGCGCGCAAAAGAGCCATGGGTCAGATTTGAACCTGGGCTGCCCACTCTCAGAGGACTAAGCCTAAGCCTCTGATTTACTGTGATTTTAACATGTGGCAGACTCTGTTCGGGGTAAACAGCAATCGTCAGTTTTTGATAGTGATCAGGAGCATCTCTTGATCGATGGCAGCAGCTCTGTCATATACAGTATGTATCAGAGTATAACTAGCTCACTCTGCAGATCAGCTGCTCAGTGGGAGGTCTCTTGCTGTCCAGGGGGGCTGCAACCCTCCCAAAATCAATCTCCTGTAAGCTTCAAAGCGATCACGCCTCAAAGTGAAGAAGCCAACTATCAGGTGTTACCAGGAGTCTTCATGCTTCGTGGTTAAGTAGGCAGGAGGGAAAGGGCAACATGTTGGAGCGTGGAGAAGGCATGTATAAGCAGTGAGCACAGAGGGGGTGGGGGGTGGGGGGTCTGCAACATTAACAGCATGGATGAGGCCGGCCCCCTCTGGGTTAGCTGTCTCCTGTTGAGCCTGTTGATGTCTTTTTTATGGGTTTGTTTGCTGCAGGGCGTCAGACGGGCAAAGTTGGCAGTAGAGGCAGTCGAGCAACTTCTTCTGGATGACGTGTGAGATATTTTTTAACATCACAACACTTTGAAAATAAAGAGAGGTGTCGGTGTCTCCTAACAGAACAAATGAAGACGACAGCAGCTGGAGTTCTTCTCATTTTGCACAAGCTGAAGCGCAGCATTATGGGGCCGTTTAAGGTGTGTTTGAAAGCAACAAAAGAAAATAATTCTGGAATTTTAACTTTGGTATGAGCAAGGACATTTTATCTAACCTGAAAAGAGAAACTGAATGAATAGTGATTCACTTCTGCAACACTTTCCCTCCTTTTTTGTGGTTGTGCACCTTCCACAGCTTCCAGTACAACCTGGAAACAAGGAATACTATTGTTCCCAACTCAGGCCTCCATCCATTGTCTATTCCCACTTTTCTCGTTCGGGTGGCGGGGTTGCTGGAGCTGATCCTAATAGCTGTCATTTGGCCAGAGGCGGGGTCACACCTGTGAGGAAACAGCACTAACCACTTGCGGCCCACTGCCACTCCAAAATACTTTACTTAGACGTTTGGAATTCAGAAATGTATGTGCATTCTTTCTTCTGTCCCTGCTCTGCTTGTGTGTTCCTACCAAGGGCAAGTTTCATATTTGTCCCAAAATATTATGATATGATAGATATTCCATGTTTTTTCACTTTAATATTCTATTTTTCCCAACCTTAACTTAACAATCACGGCTCAAAGTTTTGAAAAAAATAGAAAGACTTGCCTGGGAAATGTTGGGATTCAACCCTCACTGGTCCAGACTTGGGGGGCTGGGTTTTTTCACTGTAAGATGTGACAGGTTGTAAGTCAGCAGGATGTGACAGCAGCACAGCGGAGGGTCAGGCGGCAGTAAGGAGCCGTTTAATTTCAGATCCGTGGCCTTCTGTCACAACACACACAGACCATCAACAAGGGACTGAATCGAAAAAGAAAACACTTTTTACCCAGATACTGTGGTGAAATACAAAAGGACTGTATCGGGGTCAGTGTTCATGAGAAGAGTTTTTATTTTCATGGATAAGTGACTTAAAAAGTGTGTTAATTCGCCTTACAGCAAGCAGATAAAGGTTTTGCAGTGTTTGCAAGACAAATACTTTAAAGGAAGGAATGTGTGACTTTTTGATTCAGTAGATAAGCAGCATGAATCCAGCAAGGTGGATTATTTTTATTTTAAGGGTAGATGACTTTCTGCACCTGGTAAAGATGCTAAAAATGACACAACGATGACACAGACAGTTACGCAATCTTAAGTGATGGATTTTCACTCTGCATCTTGCTCGGTCGCTCTCTCTCTCTCTTTTGTGTCTTCTTAGCTGCATCCGTCAGCGTCCTTGTTGGTCTCTTAGCCTCAGCCGTTGAATCAAACAGAAGCGAGACGGGCTAGTTGTGTAGTGCTGTAAACCCTAGAGAACCATGGTCTGCCAAAACGTGCATATAAGCAGGTGATGAGGGTGCTGTGGACATGGGAGAGATGCTATCCTGCCTGTTTTGACTTTGAAACTACTATTTTAAGATGGAAAAGTTACATATTGTTGATAAAGTGAGTATACAGGTGTTCATGGAAGAGCTGACTCTGCAGATTCTGCTGACTCCAATATTTCAGTTTTGATCAAAGTGTTGAAATGCCCAAATGAAATTGGTATTCATATTGAGCTAAATGTGGCTGAAAAAGAAACCCATAACTGTCGGCTGCGACCTTGAAATGACACATAAGATCAACACGAGTCAACTTGTTTTATTTCTGTGGCTTTAAGTCACCCTCTCCCCTCTCTTTTCTTCTGATCACTGCTGCCTGCTCAAAAAATATGAAATATCACTGCTGCCTATGACACACTGCACTGGCACACACCCAGATATAAGCTCAGTTTGACGTCTGCAGGCGACGTTGGGCTGTATTCACACTCGAGTTTGGCTGCTGTCTTCTGAGGCTTTCACAACAAACTGAATGTGTCAGAGCTGATGAAGCTGCACGGCTCTTCACTCTGTGTTCTCGTGCAAACCGAGCATTTTAACAGCAATCTGAATATAACTATCACCTCTTAACTGTGGTAATCTAAGCAGAACTGTTCATTATAATAATGCACACTCAGCAGTTTTTTTTTTCCCCCGGACAAGTAGATTTTGTGCCATGAGGCCATAATTTCACTCTTGCAGAGAAAATCATGCATTAAGTATCTCTAAATATATAAAAAATGTAATTAGTTTGATATCATCTCACAAATCTGCATGCATCTGCAAAATCTGCATCTGCAAAATCTGCATACATTTTCTGCAGCTGGAGATGTTTCTTATATTTTGTGCGTTTATAAATGTGAAAATGTTTGCACTAGCTAAGCCTCAAAATGAACAATTCAAAAGGCTAAATTCAATCTTTTGCCAAATGTTATTCACATTATTGTGTCGCTGCTCGGTCCAGTCCAGTGGAAGACGGACGATACATTTATTTCCAACAGCTGAGAGTATATTTGTTGACAAATTCAACAAAATAAATGAATAATGACATTTTAGCTTAAATTTGAGTCAATCTCTCAGAACATAGAAGACATGCTCTTAAAATGACAGATCTCCTAAATTTTCCAATGATTTAAAGATGCAGTATGTAGATTCTGCCACCAGGGGGCTCTCAATCAAAACAATAACAAAAGATGAGGCTGAGGCTGGCGGGGAATCATGGGAGTTCTCTTTGCCACTCCTACCCCCCCACCGCCGATGAAAATGAACTTGCGACGCTGAGTTACAAGCAAAATGAACCGAATCCAAAATTACAGTCGACTCCTGAAAGTGTCTTTAGGCCCAACAGAACTCTGAACAAAATCCTTTCCTCGTGTTGCCGTGGTAACGACTTGTAATCAAATCTTTAAATCATACCCTGCTGGATGGTCCATTGTTCTCTGAATGAAGACATGATTAACAAAATGAACAACGTGCTGCACTGAAGAAGACACAGAACTACAGATTGAGACCAGATAATAAATCAAGTGTGAAGTAGGCTAATTATTATTATTATTATTATTATCAAGTCGCCCCCTGCTGGTGATTTGAAAGAATGCTGTTTTAATCCACTTCCTAATTGGCTTCACTTTAAAAAAGAGAGTAAATCCACATCTTAAGTTCATCCTAGGCTCTGTCCAGAGAGAGCACATTTCATCTACAGACACATGTAGAGCTCACCGCTTGAGGCTTTATTTTTTTAACCCCATGGACTCAAAGTTACTGTTTCAAAGTCTTCACGCCTAAAAAAAAATAAGATTTGTCTTTAAAGCTCGATTCTCAAGTGATTCGTTTGATGTCATCCTTCCTCTCATCAGACTCTCTCGAGCCGACCTACCAGCAGCTCCAGAAGATGAAGCTGGATAAAAGCCCGTTCGTGGTCGTCTCCGTCATCGGCCAGGAGCTGCTGACTCACAGTTTCCACGGCGCCTCCGTCGTCGTGCTGGAGGCGGGACTTAAGATCGGCACGTGCTCCCTAAAGCTGCGCGGATCCGTCTTCTCCGCCCTAAGCTCCGCCTACTGGTCCCTGGGAAACACCGAGAAGAGTATGGCGTACATGCAGCAGGACCTGGAGGTGACCAAGACTTTAGGTAAGGTGAAGGAGGAGAAAAGAGAGCGGACAGCAACGGTGATGTGAAGCAGTCGTAATGAATGTCTCGCCCACAGGTGATCAGTCAGGTGAATGCAGAGCTCATGGGAACCTTGGCTCCGCCCTCTTCTCTAAAGGAAGTTACAGAGAAGCTCTGGCCAATCACAGAAACCAGCTGGTGCTAGCTATGAAGCTCAAGGACAGAGAGGTACGTTTGCATGATGTGTGCTGCCGGGTACTTTTATAAAAATGCTTTTTAATCGATTTTTTTGGAGCAGAGTGTTCCACTTTTTAAGGTTTTTGTTTTGCAAGTTTGCATGTTTGACATACATGCACATGAACTATACAGTAGGTAAAGAATTCCTGCATTTTTCCTAAAATAATGTACATTAGAAGTATAGTGTCAAAAGATCCAGATCCAAGTGGTCACATGTTGGGTTTCTGTATAAAACCCCTGCAAGGGAGGTTTTATTTTTTAAATCACAGTCCAGTTTTGGGAAAAAAGCATTTTTATTGTCTTCATTTTACACACTTACTTAATGCCACAAAAATGTTATAGCCAATGTTTCGACCAAAGTTTCTCTTTGTCATCTTCCTCTTTTCGGGGGAAAGACGATGAAGCATGAGCTCAGTGAATGATTTCTGAATCCTTTTAAGAGCATATAAAGAATAACAAAGGCTTCGTCTTGGATTTGGAGCAGGGGCGCTGGAAGTCGATCTCAGTTGGGGATGCTTAGAGAAGTCATTCAATGTGATGATGTCATTTAAAAACAAAATTGAAAGAACCTGAATTTAACCAGGAAAGACACTCATTGAGATTAAAACTCTCTTTTTTTAAGAGTGTCCTTTCCGAGAAACACAGCAGCACAATTTACAGAGTGTCACACAAACAACGAGCAGCTAAACATACAAATACAAAACAATACATCAGACATTAAAAGACACAAATAACAAATTTAAACAGCACATTTTTCAGTCAAGATCTCCCTCTTTTAAAGCGTCCAATGAGAGGAAGCAGGAAGAGTGTGTGAACGGCAGCTCGTACCATTTTTTAAAACATTTCACACTTCAACAGACTGTTCCGGCCTCCTTAACGTACCGTCAAGTTAACCAAAAACGGCTCAGAAATACGAGACCAAAACATGCAAAAAGGGGACGCCACACAATATACTCCATATTTATCTCATTTCTCGTTGTTTATCATTTATGTATGTTTTCTCTGCATCATTGTAAATGAGGGTCGCCCTCAATGATCTCTCCGAGAACTTAAATGATGATATCGAGTTTTAAACCCCAAGCTTTATCTAAATAAGCTCCACCCCTCAGGAAATATTATAATTTAACAAACCTAATAACAACCTAACCTACTGAAACTCAAACAATGGAGAATAGGACTACCGGTGTCTCCAGCTCAAACTAAAATAACCAAACCCAGGAATGTGGACATGCATGGGGGGAACATTTAAACGACAAAAGAAACGAGCACCTCTCACCACGCCGCGGCCCAGAACGTGTGTGTGTGTCTGCCTGCCCCGTCTCTCCCATACCCGGCTCCTCTAAACCCCCCTCCTCCTCCGCCTCCCTGAGCGCAACATTGCTCTCAGGTGTATAACAGGTAGAGGGAGGAGGGAGACCAGAAAAGGAGAGAGAGAACCAGGGCCGCACGTAACACAGACCACAAACTTCACACAGAAAATTCACACAGTTTATAATTAACAGAGCTGAGAGATGACGTTCATTCTACTTCGTTGACTTTTGATCACAGCTGCCAGGATAATGAACCTCATATTGCATGCTGGGTAATATAATCTGATGTAAGCAGTGGCACTGAGGGAATACAATCAACACCACGGTTATACATACATACAATCAACACTTTATTATTATTATTATTATTAAGGTATTTTAAGTCGTTAACAAAGCTTATTTAGTTCCACTTGCACATTGGTTTGTCGTGTAAATTTGCAGGATTTACCCACTTTATAATAATCTCTGAAGCTGCCTGATAGAAAATTAAAAATTTAAAAACAAATTAAATTAAAAACACTCAAAGAAAACAAAAAAAAGCTCTTTATGAAAATAAAAACATAAAGCAGCGACATCACGGCTCCTCCAGATGATCACAGCTCGTTTGGATCCTCTCAGTGATTCCTAACCGCTCCCTCCGTCTCTCTGAGTTATCTGAAAACAGTTTTTCTTTTCGGTCGCCTCGGGGGAAGAAGCTAAACTCAGCGTCTTTCTTCTCAAACTCTTTGGACAGTTGTGAAAAGTGTCTTTAATTAGATCGCTGCTGCAGATTATTCCTTGGCCCCTTTATGTCTCCAGACACAAAGTAGAGCTGTCAGCTTGTGTGTGTGTGTGTGTGTGTGTGTGTGTGTGTGTGTGTGTGCGCGTGCCAGCATCGACACGCTGTAAATAAACCGCACGGTGTCATGGCAGATCCAATTACGTCTCAATGGATTTAATATTTTCTTTAATCTGGTGATTCTGTGCCCGTGGCGCGTCTCGCAGAATATTTTTATTGTCTCTTTAATATTTTACAAGAAAAATAATCAATTCAACATTTTGTGTGTTAATCCATAATGTTTGACTCTGAGGCTGTTCATGGACTCATTTCTCTCATGTAACATGTCGATAGTTTCATGTTTGCTTCAGTCTGTTGGGTTTGTACAGAAAGTAAATGACATCACGATGCAGTTTAATATGACTAAGAACACGGGGAGGAAAGGTGGATGACAGGTTGCTCAATGTGGTCAAATGACAGGTGATGTAAAAAATGTGTTGGGAGTTTGTGTGAAAACAGGATACACACGATAAGAGGGAAACCAGGCAAACCTCCACAACTGAAAACTGAAACAATTAAGGAAATACTTCAAACTAGAGCTGTCATCAATTAAAACCAGTTTTGTCCCTTCTTGCTCACCGTCCTCAGTGTCTCCCTGTAGTCTCAGTGATGTAAAAGAAGAACACTGCTGCATCTTTGAACGTCTCATTTCACTTCAACAAACTCTCAGACAGCTCAGCTGACGAGTCCAAAGTAATATCCACCTTATGACATCACACATTGACCTTATGACATCACACATTGACCTTATGACATCACACATTGACCTTTGTTACCGTTCCTTTTGAGCTGTTTGACGTCAGTTTGTGATCCGTGACCACTTCCTGTTTCTCCCTGAAAATCAGTGAGATTAACAAGAATCTGGTGTGTGTGTGTGTGTGTGTGTGTGTGTGTGTGTGTGTGTGTGTGTGTGTGTGTGTGTGTAGTGTGTTTTTTCACCATGTTTGTCTGTTTTGGCACGTGGTTTAATGTAGGCCTCTGACTTGCCATAAAAGTTTTTCACGCACACACACACACACACACACACACACACACACACACACACACACACACACACACACACACACACACACACACCGTCTAGTTTGTCATGAATCCTGTTCACCCCGTAGCTCAGGATCGAAACCAGACGGAAGAGTTTCTTCTTCATCTGTTTTCCGTGTTTGACTTGGAGCAGTCAACACCCCACACACACACACACACACACTCACACTCACACACACACACACACACACACACACACACACACACACACACACACACACACACACACACACACACACACTCACACTCACACACACACAGTCGTCTCTCTGGGTTGTTGACAGACGATTATTGAGCTTCTCCTCCGCAGGTGAGCATCCTGCAGGCGACTGAAACATGGACATCAACACAAATCCATATCTCCCACCGTGTGTTTGCCTTGCAATGTTACAAACAATTGTTTGTTTGCGTCTCTCTGTCTGTGTGTGTGTGTGGTGTGTGTGTGTGTGTGTGTGTGTGTGTGTGTGTGTGTGTGTGTTTCCAGACAGCGAGCTTCCAAACAAACACACAACGTGCAGAGAGATGATGTGCAACCTACAGGGACGGACACAGAAAGGAAAACACCACACCGAGTTTGCAATAGTGTTTAAAAAAACTCAACAGGTGTTTCATCATTTACAATCATCATCAGTCTTTAAAGTTCTCTAACAAGCAGAAATATGCATCACAGTATTTTTAATTCTTTGCATTTTGCCAATAAAACAAACCTTTAGGCTACATCTAATGGAAGCAGCATTGTAAGACCCTCAGACCCCGCTGCATGCAGAGTTTAGACGTCTTTAAAAAAAAGCTGTGGGCACTAAAATAATAATATAATAATAATAATAGTTAAAAAGTTTAAAGTTTATTTATAAAGCACTTATCAAAACCAACGTCACAAAGTGCTTCACAGAAAAAAGAAAAATCCTAACAGTCAAATACAAAACAATTAAAATCCTTTTAAAAGAAGCATGAAAAATAAGACAACAGTGCAGCAATCATCCAATTAACAGAGAAAAGAGACAAAGATTAGCTAAAGTTAACAGTAAAAGAAATAAAACATCATGGACTGTTTGTCTTTGTGTCTCTTATCTCACTCATGTCCATTTTATTTGTATTTTTTTATTTCACCAGGTAATTAACCCATTGACATCAAGACCTCTTTTCATAATTGTGACCTGGTCAAGAGGGCAGCAGCAGCACACGTCATGATAAATATGACATGATTAAGAAACATTTTAAAAACATTAGGTTAAGAGCAGATAAAGTGCAGAGTCAAGATCACAGATTACAATTCAGAAACACTTCAGTCTCCCGTTTGTTTGGTCTTTTAAGTTAGAGCTAAAGTCTTCAAGTGAAATGAGATCTGCCCGTTTAAAGTCCATCATGATGACATCCATGGAGATTATGTTTCATACATGTGTATTTAAGTCTTCGTGCTCTTTGTATGATGTGTAGTGCCTGTATGCCCCTCTGGGACAATAAAGATTTTCCAATCCAATTATAAATTTTTTAGGTTTTCCTTTTCTTATAAGATAAACTAGCACAAAGTTAAAGTTTCTTACAGTTTATTTCAGTAAAAGTAGCTCAACCCCACTGTAGAAAACTTGTGATCAATCAGAGTTGCTGCTTCTAGAAAATGCTTATTGATGGAAACACATTTATTTGTATTATTTTTATAATAACTTAAGAAACTTGTGCAACTAATAATGAGGTTAAATTTGGAATAATGTTTGGAGTTTTTCCCTCTGAGGTTAAACAAGTAGCTTGTTATCATAAGCCACATATAACTCTCCTTCTGCGTTCATTTGTTTACATTTCTCTTCTCCTTCACGTAAACT